CAGTCAGAAAGGTATCAAACAACCCCTAAATGTGTTTTTTGAAGGACTTGGGTCATTATTTGTTGTTTTAGATTTTTTTACTTTTAACTTTTCCAAAAAAAAATACCAAAAGATGTGTGAGAAATACAAAATTATTTTCAAAGTAATTTTTTGTAAAGAAAAAAAAGATTGGGTTTTTAAAAATCAGGAAAGTGTGACTTTTAGCTTTTAAAAGCAAATTACACTCAAAAGTCAAGAAATATAGCTCAAACACTTTTTAAAAACAACTTTAGGTTTTTGTCTCCTCAAAAACTAAAGTCAAAAAGAAATTTTACAAAAAAAACTTTTGAGCTTAAAAATAATCCCAAACACCCCCTTAACTTCTTGTTTAATAGCTTTATTTATTTAAAATTCTATTTTTGTCGGATGTAGAAAAAGAAAGAAAATACAACACTTTAAAAGGGTGCATTTAATTATAGAAAAAATGATTTATTTTCAAAAAAAATTTGTAATGAGAAATAAGAATTTTGAAAACGCATTTAGTGCAACAATTTTTTTAAAATTTTCCACTTTTTAAAATTAAAGACTATAAAAATTTTAAAAACTGATAATTATTGTTTTTTATATTTTTCTAACTCCAAATTTTTCTATAATATTAGTAGGGTTGATGGATTTCTCATAATATTAGTAGGGTTGATGGATTTCTCTTTTAAATTCAGTATCAAGGTTCCTTTGTTGACTTTATGTGCTTGTTGGGTATTTTTCTTAGTTTTATGTGCTTAAAAAAAATTGCAAGAAAAAAGTTTCAGTCTCGCAAGGAATTTTTAGTTTTTATTTTAAAAAAAAACTTTGAATCCAAAAACTATTGCAGATAGTTTTTTCGGATTTAAAAGTTAAAAGTTATTTTTGTCAAACACTTATGCATAAATAAAAATCACAACTTCAAGCTACCAACTACTTTTGTCAAATATATCCTTAATAAGAAAATTTTGTTGTGTTCAATATCCGGGACATGATAGAATAGATTGTATTGTTTTTCACGTACCAATTGAGACTATAGTGTATCGGACACTTTGGGACTCTGCTATCAATTTCATGTTTTTACGTAAGACATGAATGCCTAAGACATATATAAAAAAAAAAAAAAAAAAAAGTCCTACAAAGTTCTTCCAATCTTCACCGGTAAAATTTTATGTTAAAAAAAAACACTCATAGTTTCAAACATACCACCCTTATTAAGAATTAAATATTGATAAAAAAAAATCTCCTTTAGTTGGAAGATTAAAGAATAATGATCATAGTACTAGAACAAATTGGATAATCAAGCAAGTGATTGGAGAGGAGAAAACGATATAAACTATAAAGAATAAAATATATGGACGGTCTCGTAGTCGTACATAAAAGAAAGAAAAAATAAGAGAGAAGGTGCATGAATGTAGCATCCATCAAAATCTCTCGAAGCAAATTGGTGGGGTTGATTTATAATATATTATATGTAAAACTTTTGTCTAATGATATTCTTAGATTTGATCATTGATTGTGATTAGTGATTACATCCAATGTATGATATCGCAACTACACAACAAATCTTATGGCAAGTCTTGATCAAACTTTCTTGCAAATGGCCAAGTGTTACCCTTTTATATTTTTCTTTACTTGCAACATGGTGAATGGATTCTAGTCTTTAAACCCATCTTAATCATGCTTTTGTTGCAAATTTGTTATAATATTTATTAGATTTTAAAAGCAACGCGTTTGGAGTGAGTGTTAGTTGTGTGGATTAATGTATTTATAGTTTTAGCTTAAAAGATTCACTGAAATTATTTGATAACAACTAATTTAGAACAACATAAATCTCAATCAATGTATTTTGTAATTTTGAAGCAATATGAAAATAGTTTGATATATACTATAAAATTAGAACCACCATCAATATATTTAAAGTTTTGGTGTAAAAGTATTACTAAATGTTGGGTTGATATATACAAGGGTATAAAAAGACATTAAGTTTTTATATTATTTTTTTGATTTTGATAATCCATTATTTTTTCGAATTTAAATATGATTGTTTTCTAATTATGTTCAATGTTGATCTTTTTTCCTGTCAGTTTCAGGTTGCATGATTTCTAGCTAACGAAGCATGTTAGTGTAGCACAAATATTTCATGATGACAATATCCGGTGACATCTTTGGGTGTAAAAAAAACTTTCTTGCAAATGGCCAAGTGTTACCCCTTTTATATTTTTCTTTACTTGCAACATGGTGAATGGATTCTAGTCTTTAAACCCATCTTAATCATGCTTTTGTTGCAAATTTGTTATTGTATTTATTAGAATTTAAAAGCAACACGTTTGGAGTGAGTGTTAGTTGTGTGGATTAATGTATTTATAGTTTTAGCTTAAAAGATTCATTGAAAATTATTTGATATATACAACAACTAATTTAGAACAACATAAAATCTCAATCAATGTATTTTGTAATTTTGGAGCAAAAGAATCATTGAAAATATGAAAATAGTTTGATATATACTACAAAATTAGAATCACAATCATGTATTTAAAGTTTTGGTGTAAAAGTATTACTAAAAGTTGGATCGATATATACAAGGGTATAAAAAGACATTAAGTTTTTTATTTTATTTTTTCGATTTTGACAATCCATTATTTTTTTCGATTTTGACAATCCATTATTTTTTTCGATTTTAAATATGATTGTTTTCCAATTATGTTCAATGTTGATCTTTTTTCCTGCCAATTTCAGGTTACATGATTTCTAGCTAACGAGGCATGTTAATGTAGCACAAACATTTCATGGTGAGACTATATGGTGACATCACATTTAGGGTGTAAAAACAACTAAAATGTAGTAAATTTTGTAATAATTATCCAAAATATAGTGATTTTTACACAATTTAGTCTTATCGTCAAAAATAGAAAACTAAAATGTAGTGTTTTTTTTTCAATTTAGACATCATGAACTTGGCACCTACCCCTGTGTTTCACCATTCATGCTTCATGTTTGGACCTACCTCAAGTGCCCCTAACTGCCACGATGTCACTTTGGTTCTACACACTTATCAATTACATGCATCATCCCCTTGTATATTATGAGGTCTTGCAATAAAGTCCACATAAGCACACCCACCATGCTCACACGCATTTACACATATTGTTTACCTTTAAAACCATTTGGTAGCCTCATTTCCCTACCTCTACTTCTGTTTTTATTACCCTCGTTTAATCATCTATAGATCACAAAACATCATTGCATCACGTATGCTTAAACACCTTCTTCCTAATAACTATCTAGTTGAAAATAAGAATATAATGCTCGATTCAAAACACTCTATAGATTCATGTGTTACCTTAAGATATGATGTAAATAACCACTATAATCATTTGCCATCTTCTTCACATACCTTTTAATCAGCGTATTGAAATTTATGTAATATACATTAAAACTTATGGAGTATGCTCTTGATGTAATATCCATTTTGACATATGTCCCTATCCCACTTCAATAATGGGTTTTGTGAAGTCTATTGTGAGTCTTTGAGCAAATTTTAATTTAGAGTCTTGACATACTCTTTGGTGTTTATTACAAACCTGCCAAAGGCTTAGCTTTTATCGGTCGATCGTTGGATCTATATTACATATATGCAATCTACATCCCCACGGTCCTTAATATATCAATCACTCTCTCTCTCTCTCTCTCTCTCTCTCTCTCTCTCTCTCTCTATATATATATATATATATATATATATATATATATATATATATATATATATATATATATATATATATATATATATATACACACACACACACTTTTTCTCTATGGAACCAAAAGATCAAAACATTTGTAATAATGAGTGTTCGGGTAACGTTGACCAATGCTAGAAGAAAGCTCAAAGAATTGTATATTGGCGTCCCTAATGATTTTGTAAATCTATCTTTTCAAGATTTTGCATAACTTTCATAAAACATATCCAAGGCGACGATCGAAAAAAAAAGAATGAAGCTCGCTACCTACCAAGAAAATGGATTCAATATCTCAATTATGCACCCACAAACACAACCATTTTTCACCATAATATTTAGCCAAGATTCCCGGTCTTAATTTTTTGGAAAGGGAACTTCCTAACGAGGGTTTCCGGGTCAGCTTTCGCGCACCGACTAATCACAATATTACAATTTCGCGATTGTGTTTTTGTGTTAGAGTAATTAATGTTAATGCATCTCACATCACAATATATTTTTTTCTAATAAAAGTATGAATATGTTAACTTTTTAGTTATTTAATTTAGTGTTTGTAAGAAACATATAATATTTTTGATCCTCTTAATATTCCTGACTTTTCAATAAGGGGTTGTTAGTTAGATTGTTTTCTTAGAGGCGTGTTAGCGAGTGCCCTGGTTCTGAGGATGATAATGAGTTATGTATTCTCTTATGTATTGAAAGCTACGCCGTTTAAAAATACTTCCCTTTATTTATGAACTCCCATTTCTTTGCGAACATTTTTGGCTATATACTCGATAAGCTTTGTATCAATAAAAACTTGGAACTTTCATATTATTTCAGTTCAAGAAATGTGAATATTAGATTTACAATGGATCGTAGTTGTTAAAGTATCAGTATTGATATTAAGTTCTTACAATTCTAAGATCATAGAAATGAAAACAATCATGATCACGCTATACTATAATCTACATGAAGCAAGATATAATGAGATCTTTGGATTCCGATTAGTTTTCAACAAAAATTATAGTTCACGCGTAAGAAATCAAAGTTGATTACACTAGACATCTTATCAACATCAAGTTATAATGTATGATGCATACTCATGGTCTTGTGAGCAAATTTAAATACGAGTTCATTTTGATAGGATATTCTGATCCGATATTCCAAAACATAAAAAAATATTAGTTAAGATTTCTATCTTTGACAAACTTGTCATGAGTGACATTATTTTTGAGGAAATAGTCAACAATGCAATTTAATACAAAAGATTATTATACGTTGTCCATCATTCTTGAAACAAATGATAAATATGTTCAATTGATTCCAAAACACAAATGATTGACTTACAAGGCTATTGATTTATATACCACACGCTTTATAAACATTCATTCTAAAACAAGTAGACATTAAAAAACCCATAAATAGACAGAAAATCACACATATATGGATATGGTGTGTGCCGCAAGCGTAGGCCGCCGGCGACACAACTTATTGTCAAATTCGTCAGCCTTAACCACAACCACCCCATTAACACGAGTCTTACGTTTTATATAGGAACTAATTAAACTCAACTCACTGGGTTCTCACTCGCTCGACTCAGTTTATTCGGAAACAACTCAGATGATAACCGGGAAGTCATCCATCGTCCAAACATCACATGCTGACTCACCACCGAGTCCACCAAACTGAGTCAACTCATGATCAAGACCCAAGAACGTCTCAAGGTTCGAGATCTGTTCCTTGAATTCGTGCTCATCAGCCACACTGTTCGAGTAGTAAGATTGTTTTTGGAACTGGTCGTAACTCAGTAATGCAGGTGGTCGTGGTGATGGTGATACATGGACGGTTGACTGAGTCGACTCAGTGCGCAGCTTCTTCGCCGGTGGTAATGGAAAGTTGAGCTTGGCCTTACCACCTCTGATACGTTTGGCTGCTTCATCGTAGGCTTGAGCAGCTTCTTCAGCGGTGTTGAATGTACCGAGCCAGACTCGGACACCCTGCTGTGGGTCTCGGATCTCCGCCGCCCATTTTCCCCATGGCCGCTGCCTGATCCCTCTGTACTTGTTCTTCCTCGCTTTTGGCTTCTTCTCGATAGGTTGTGATTTTTCTGAAATAAAAAAAAAAAAAATTGTTAATCTTTTGGTTATCGTCGATATATTTTTTCAATCATTGGTAGTTATAACTTATAATAACGATGATAAGTTTTAATAATGGAAAAGAACGTTGGATAAATTTGATCGCCATTTCAAGTTGTTTCTACATTCAATGTCTATTGTCAAACCCTGATTTTAAAATTTCAAATTGTTTGTTTTAAAATATTAAAAGTTAATAACTTGTTTTAAAATTATAATTTTGGGCTTGAAGATTCCCAAATTAGATAAATAAGTTACCAAAAATCTAGTAACAGATCCAAAATCTGTAAATCCAGTTGTTTGTACGTCATTGAACTAAATAAAAACAAAATTCTAGCTTCCATTTGCTTAAAGTGTAGCTTTACTTTTCTCTGAAGAAACTTGGATTAAAAAATAAATTCAAAATCAAGCAATAACCACAGAAGGTATCGATTAGATGTTAGAATATGAATACAAGAACAAAATATCGAAAAATAAACGGAGATTCCTTTGTAGAATGTGTCAATGGCGTGTTATTCGATGCAACCTGTTAAAGTTTCATCAAATACACAGTGCGTATGTGTTTAAACATGGCGGAGATGATACCTTCGTCGAAGATTTTTTTCTGCTTTGAAATAGTTTTGTTCTTGATAGCAACTTCAGTGGTGGAAAGTAGTGTTTGTGGTTTGAAATCCCAGCCGAAGAGATCTGAGGTGTCAAACTCGGACCAGAGATCGTCGGCCGACAGCTTCCGGTCGCGGTTGAAGACGGGATCGGCGTCCGAGATTATTGCTCCACCGCACATTTTTGGTGTTGTCAGAGAGAGAAAAGGGGAAATGCAAATGGCTTGATGAAGTTGCTCATTTATAGAGTGGACAGTTACAAAGAAAGTAATCAAGGGGAAAAAGACAAAAAATAAATAAATAAATAAACCTTCACTGAATCTCATTTTGTGATTTACTTGTCATATTATTATGGAGTACATATTAAAACAAAACTTCTTAAAAACGATATAAGTTTTGGATTTCATGATTTAGGCACAATACTTTGATATGAGTTTTATTTGCATCCTATCGATAGATAATGCCGTTTGTTTGTTTGTTTTTTTTTGTCTGTGCTTTGTTGTTCTGTTGCAACCCATCTATAGATAATGCCGTTTGTTTGTTTGTTTTCTTTTGTTTGTACTTTGTTGTTTTTCGTTGTCATAATGGAAACAAATTCTATTGTTTTTATTCGTCGTTGTGGTTTCAGGCTCTCTACAAACACTGAAGCTTCAAATGTTGCATTGATCAGACGCTCGTGAAGTACTTTTGAACGACAACCGATCATTGGCGACACCAATAACTTTCAGGTAAGTAAAGTTTCTTTTTTTTGCGTTTCCTGTTGGTCTTATTTATATGGAATAACATTGTCTTTTTCTTGTTGTTGATTATAGTTCATACATGTTGTTCTTTGATTTTGCTCATCTTTGTGTGCCTTTTGTTTTGGTATATGTATACGACGCATCACGCACGCCATGTGTTTGTTACAATTCCTCATATTTCACTGTCTACTTTTTTGTTGTCTAAGCATTAAAATTCCATCAAATTGCAAACACATTCCTCCATAGAAGACATACTCACTCTTTTTCATCACTGCTTCCACTTTTGCACACCATTTAGGAGTTGTTTGTTTTTTTAGGCAAAATGTCTGCAGTCTACAGACCATATCTTCAAACATCTTAAGTAGAAGAGATAGACCAAACATCTGCAGCCTGAAACAAGAAGACTGTTTGTTTTTTAACATCTGCAGGGTGTTAGAATAAACTAAAATCTAATTAAACTAATTAAAAAAAAAACTTAAAAAGAGATGTTGTAACACCCAAAAAATTCAAGCCAATTTAAAACTTTCCCAAAACATTTAAAACCAGTAGCTATTACAACTTTGTTTTCAAAATAGTCTAATACCAGAGTCTTCCCAGAAACATAAATAAAACATGAGTAGTTGTATGATCACGCCTAAGCCTTGTCGCGATCCCCTGATGTACCTGAAACAATAAACTGAAACTGTAAGCCCGAAAGCTTAGTGAGTTCCCCCAAAATACCCATACCCACGACAATACACATATAAACATAAACAACATACTATGGGTCCAGTCAACCATCAGGTTGGAATACCCCTAGGCCCTCAACCAATCGGTTGGAATGCCAAAATACTATGGGTCCAATCATCCTCGGGATGGAATACCCCCAGGCCCACAACCAACAGGTTAGAATTCCCACATATTATGAGTTCAATCATCCTCGGGATGGAATACTCACGGCCCACAACCAACAGGTTGGAATGCCCAAGTCTATTGGCTTTCGCACAAAGCAGATAAGCCTCAACCGCCAAACAAACATGTGCACATATAACAGATAATCACATAACAATCTATAGACAACGAACTGATCAAACAGATCATACCACATAACACATACTACCATCCAATCTATCAGGATACCGATTTAGCAGTTCATACTAGTATATCACATATAACCATCCTATAACCAGGACACCGACCTAACCAGGTCACTAAGCATAAACATAACCTCATCCTAACTACCAGGATGCAAACCAATAATCATATCATGCCATAACTGGATACAATCCATAAAGGGTCGGCCTTGGTGCCTTAGACCCTGTTGATATAGTGAGGATAACTCACCTCGCGAGTAGGGCTGAAGTACCGTAAATCTCTGGCTGCTGTCTCGCCGGGAATCCCAAACTAATACACAATAAATACTAAGTTAATACCCAAATAACCTTCTTGACTACAAGTCCACACCATTCATTAAGTCCATTCTCTTTATTGGGTCAAGGCCCAAATACCCAGTCCTTGACTTGAAAATCCACATATAAAGCCCATTATCGGCCCAATTTACTAAATTGGGCCTAACTCCCTAATTAGGCCTAAACCCATGATCCACTATCACTATTGGGCCCAAAACATCCTGTTTACAAAGTCCAGCGAAGGCCCAAACCCATTTAGCCCATAAACAGCCTAAAATATGAAGTTCATTTGTCAAAAAGCCCAACAGAGGGCATACGAGGGGCATACTCCTCTGGTATGCGGGGTGTACTCATCCAGTCGTTGACCACCATCGGGGTGGCTGACCCAGTACGCTGGGCGTACTGGATTTACGCTGAGTGTACTCTACAGTTTGCCAAAACCTTATTAAGTGCTTAATGGCTTAAGCACTTAAGCCCAAACCTCAGATCCAGAGACCTAACATGCCTAGGATCCATAAAGTCACGAACTTTATCACTTTGGACGTCCATAAAGTTCTTAATGCTTGGTCTTAATCCATTAAGACCTTATTTCTCTTTGCATGGGACACATACAACTAATGGGACCTTATTTTTATCACTCAAGGTACGTTCAAGAGTCTGGAAGGACAGCTCTTTTCGTCCAAATCACAACATGCACCAACTTATGGCTTTTGGGACAAGAAATGCTTCTAATAAAGTAAAATGATGAGATCTATGCATATATGCATAAAGTTTGGAACTTTATACCTTCTGGAGCTTCTTGAGCACAAGCTAACTTCAGATCTACAAGCTTGATCTTCTTCTCCAACACTTTGATGCAATACCTTCCTCTTGAAGCACTCAAGAACACACCAAATAAGCTTAAACACACAAAGGAAAAGCTAGGGTTTGGGGAGGACGAATGTAGGTTGTGGAGGCTAAGGTAAGGGAGTTCTGGTGCTCATAATGTTGTTTATATAGGCTCCAAACCCTAAATATTATGGTTTCACCCAGACATTAGTACGCCTAACGTACACAAGTGTACGCCCAGCGTACTAAGGCGGACCTTAATACGCTTAGCGTACTCTTATGTACGCGCAACGTACTCCCTTTTTGGCCCAAGTTTGCAAACTTGGTCCTTAAACTTATCATGGCTCTTCACTTCCAACCCCAAGGACCATAAATGACAAGGTAATGATAGGAGAGGGTTCAGGAATACCTACCAATTCTCGGGATGTTACAGATGTTTTGATAATTTTATGACTTTATTATAGATAATTAACAAATGTAGATTAACTTTTATGCATTATTGTATAAAAAGTGAAAATAAAATGGTAATAATTATCGTATATATTTGATAAAAACCAACAAACTTTAGTCGTAAATTTATACCTAAACATTGTAATTAGGGATAAAAGAATTTAACACATAACATGAATGAAATAAATTTTTGATTTTACATGAAAAATTTTCAAAATTTTTATTTTACTTTTTCAATTAAATCAATTAAAAACTGATCATAAATATTTTTCCCAAGAAATAAACGATGTTGCATTAAATAATGTTTTATAAAGGGTAAATTACACCATTCGTCCCTCGTGCATATGTCAACACACGTTTAGTCTCTATTTTAAAAAATTAACTTGGATCGTCTATGTGTTTGTTTTTTCTTGCACTGTTAGTCCCTATGGACATGAAATAACTATTTTACCATTAATAATTTTTATTTTTCATTTTCTTTCATTTATTTATCAGTTTTAAAGTAAAAAAAATAAAAATAAAAATAAAACAAACATCCCAAACCCTCCCCTTCCATTTCCCCATCTCAAGATTTTCCACAGGTTAACTAACACCACCTATCATCGCTAGCAAGTCTGACACCACCACCTATCACCGCCATGTCCTCCTTAAACCAAATCATAATCTGAAAACCTTGCATGTGGCTTCTCCCCTTGATCTGAAACCTTAGGCGGAAATCAATCTGAACATATGTGAAGAAGGAGATCAATCTAAACATATGCCGACAGCTGCTTCCTCAATCTGAACCTTGCACCCGTCTTCTTATTCAATCATCCATGTATGCTTTCTATTCAATCAGACTTATGGTTTGTATGATTTCCTTATATGGTGCATCCAGAAATCCAAATGTAAAAGAGATCCCAAAAAATCAACCTAGGTTAAAATCTGATAATCATCGATTGTAAAATTTCCCAAACATCGATTGTTTTCTAATAAACAATCACAATTACAAAAAAGATAAAAGAGAGAGAGAGAGAGAGAGACCATCATTCCAATTCGACCATATCTGAAAGGCACTTGGTACCGATTTGAATGGATCTAAAATAGGCTTTAACCCATCTGCAACCCTGTATAACCATGGCGCCGGAGATAGTGTCTGCTTCCGCCTCCGATTATAACGCCTTTGCCTCTTATTCGAATAGAGAATAAAGAAAGAGTGTGACAGTTCTACATTAAGAACAAAGAAGAGGAAAAGAGATCGACTATTCTTCATATCTTTCTGGCGATGGATTCCCCCATCACAAAATCAGATCGAGATGAGGTAATCTTGCTCATATGGTGTCTGATTTAGGTTTCGAATTCATGGTAGCTTTTGAGGTGCATATCGACTTCATGTGTATCTTGAAGCTTGCCATAAGTATATGATTTTGTTAGCGGGTTCTACAATACTGAAAGAAAAAAAGAAAGGGGTGATGTTGAGGGTGGGTGAGAATGGGCCCAATTTCCTTTTTTTAAATGATAAATAATATTAGATTAATTGAAAAAAATACACAGGGGCATTATGGTCATTTTAAATTTGGTATGGACTAATCCTGCAACAAATCGTCTTTTAGGGAAACATGCAACTTTAAACCAAACGAGGGATCGTCTGGGTTAATTTTTGAAAATAGTGACCAAACGTGCCTTTCGGCACCTGCACGGGGACGATTTGTGTAATTTACCCTTTTATAAAATTTGGTACAAAAAAAATATAAATATTATGATTTTTTTCATATCTATATAAACAACTCCACCAATTATTATGTAATTAAATATTTATTTATAAATTTGTCACAAAGGTCAGATGATTGTGTTA